GATGGGCTGAATTGCACAAAACGCATGGTCGCACCGGCTAGTCTGGTGCGCGTTGCCATTTATTTTTATTGATTCGGTCTTATTTCTTCTTCCACTCACTGTTGCTTTCAGGCTACTGAGAAGACTATGTTTAGTGAAGAAAAAACGACTAAAAAGAAGCAAGCTTTTGAGAGTCTGCGGACAGCTGCAATCAACTCATTGTGCAGGTCCGTTTCTTCAAATTCTATTTCTTCACAGAGTTCGAAATATCCTAACGTAGTACAAAAAATAGTGACATCTGTTAGAACCAGAGAAATGCGTTGTCTTGTAAGGGCTATTTTTATTTAATTTTCCGCCCTTCTGTTCGGTTTTTTTTTTTCACAAAAAAAGAATATTCCCTGTGCGTTGATAAAATTATCAACAGACAGCCTGACTTCGTGGTAGAGTATCTCTACAAATGCTTTAAAACAATTAAGATTGTTTTAATCGACTAGTGCCTTCACAATGGGACTTAAATAGTTTAGCTTCTGTTTTAGAGTATTATTTCACGTCGTAAATATGTACTGTAGCGTGTAATGGAATTGCACGAAATGCATGAATTCTCATAAATGAGAGATATTTAAATTAACGAGGAATATTTCTTGGGATATAGGGAATGGGAAAAGTTAAATGAACCCACAGTAGCAGAGGGAAAGGGACGTTAATTGCATAATTTACAAGGAAGATATTACTATAATGTGAGATAGAAAAGAAGGGAAAGTAACTGAAAAGGAATGTTTCGGCCCATTAAGTCACATACATTGCAGTATAAGATAGAGAGCTGCAAATCAGCTGACGAGTAGTTTTTTTCAGGGCACTTCGATCAGCGATAGTTATTGACGATCTGTCTGTTCAGGCTTGTCTCACAAATATCTCATCGAAGTTGTTTTTGATTGCTAACAAGGACACATATTAGTATGTCTCAAAATACATTTGATTTTTCTTTTTTCAATTCGATTCCTCATATTCTCTGATAGAGAGGGGGCGAAGCCGAGCTGTTGACAGAGCCGAAGCCCAAGCTATTTGTCTTTCTTTTTGTTTTTTTTTTTCTCCGTTTGTCTAAAATGGCATTTTTTACACATTGTTCCTTGATTTTTTACTCACTTACTAGCACAGCATCATTTTCTGTTCCAGTTCTGCTGCCTCTTTCGGTTAGATATTGCTTATTTTCGCTAAGATTTTGTGTTTTTCTGTTTGCTAATTCTCTTTGGCCACATTATGCCTGCCGGCCCGGTTTTGTGCATTTTGCCGTGTAGGTGGGCTTCGGAACTTTTTAAGATAAAAGACCTGTCTTCGTTATTTTTCGGGCATAATTACTTTCATACAATCATTGATGCACTGTTCCAGTGGTTCATCACTTGCACTGGAAAATGCGATACGTATTGTTGGTGGTATTGGTACGTCGTTGGTTGATGTAAAGGAT